GGGACTTTTTTTTTTAAATAACAGCTTACAATCATGATGTTACACAAATTAACAACACAACAAATTAGAAATAGCTTGGTAGCGATCACCTCATTTCCAGGGGTTATTATCATCCATAAATTCCTTAATATTATAATAACCCTTTTTATACAAACTTAGTTTAATAAAGTTTTTGAACTTTGAACAGGTCAAACTTTGTATATTTTCTGGAATTTTGTTGTAAAAGCATATACATCGCCCCAAGAATGAATTACTGACTCGATGGAGTCGAGTAACTGGTGGACAACCTGGTATTTATGTATTGTCTTATAAATAGAGAAAATATTTTAATGTTTGAAATACATTTAATTTTGTTTGGATGTTACTATCTAGTTCTAGAAGATTCAGTTCGATAATATTACACATTTGTGAAATGTTGTGTTATTATAGTATTATTATGAAGCTATAAGCAGTGTGTTTCTATCAAGCGTAATGGGTAAAGCGATTAGGTTCCAATTGGTGCGTACGGTTCACGACCCGGATTAACCTATAAGCCACTACAAATTACACGCAACGTTAGCCGTGGCTAGGGTTGATATCCGTACTATAAGTAATATATTTATAATATAGTACTATATTTCAGTAATTTGTACTATATATTACAGAAAAATTATATAGTACGAAAAATAAATTTTTTAATCCCTAATTCAACTGTCGCGCTTTTTTATATTAACTGTGACTTGAAGTCTGGAACAAGTAAGTTTTACGGAAATATTTTATCCGTCATGAATGGAAAGAAGATAGAACATGTATTAATTTAATTAAAAATGAATTGTTAATTTATTTAAATATTAATCTAAATTACTCAGCTTCCTATAATTATTTTAAAGGTAAATACATCATTGATGTCCAAAGCGGCAAGTGATGTCCGTAGCATACGCAATTTAATATATAGCATTAACAAGTTAATATATATGGCAAAATACATAAAAATTAAAAATAAATCTATACAAAAGCTTTTACAAAAATTTACTTCGCAAATATCCGCGTTATAAAATAAAATGATGTGTCTTACCTAGTATGAAGAAGCACCTCCCGCCCTCCCTCATGCGATAAAACATGCTTAAGCATGTTTTATCGCATGACGCAGTCGCTCGCTTCTTAGGTAGAGAGCGGTTGCGTCATCGGTTTGTATAAAAGGCAGTTGTTTTGGCTCGCCGCTCACTTAGCGGTTAGCCACCGTAGAGTCTATATCACCTGAGGATGCCTCGTGTAGAGGCGAAACACGTGTCGTATTATCGTCAGTGGTGTGTCTTGCCTAGTGTAGTGGTATTGGGAGTAGCGGTGCTGGGATTAGTGGTGACGGGGTTAGTGCACGCAATTGAGGGAGGGCGGGAGGTGCTTCTTCATACTAGGTAAGACACATCATTTTATTTTATAACGCGGATATTTGCGAAGTAAATTTTTGTAAAAGCTTTTATATAATGGATTTCCGCAAAGTAACGCCTGATTCTATTAATAAATCTATACCTTTTCCCCCTGAATTTCTTAAAAGTACTATATTTTTGCATCTTTTTGGGAAAAATACTATATTTATTCAAAAAAGGTGGCAACCCTAGCCATGGCCATAATATTGTAATATTTCTCCGCATTTATTTGCTTCAAAATTGCTTAATCATTTAGAATATTATGCTTATAAGTATTTGAATGATATAACTTACTGTGCACAGAAATAAATGCCACATAAGTTGAGGTTTTCTAGGATTAGGACTCATATTCTTTATTGTATTATTAATGAAAAGCTTTTAAAATATCATGGCTCTTTTAACTAGATACCTACCTTAAAACACCATAGAATGTTTTGTTTTATTACAGACCACGTGACGGGGTTTTAAAAATGTAACTTGAATTTTAATAAGAGCTGCATTGTGTATTAAATGTGGCATTATAGGAAACTTATTTCCACCTTTTGTTAATTTGGTTAAAACATGCTATTTTTATATGAAAAATATGTAGAAACTACATAACTTATAGAATTCATCAACTACTTTGTTTCTATGGGCATTATCAGAGACTACAAAGTGGATAAATATGTATAGCGTCATGTACAGCGGGATCCTCTAATGTTAACTGTTATCAACGTCTTTATTACTGGAGTTTTCAACCTGCTTCCATAAGGCTGAAAGATAATATGGCAAGAATATTACTCAAGCGAGTCGACAATTGACTATCATCATGTTGGCAGCAATTAGCAGCAAAAAATTTAAAGTAATAATCATGTAAAGCTAGCTTCCTACGCGGCACCCTACACTGCTCGAACGAGAGCGGGCTTAGACTACTACCCTCAGATTAAGTTTCCATTAAATTTTCCAGACATGCAGGTTTCCATATAATATTACGATCAACAATTATAGTAAGGCCGCCAGGTATAGAACTGTAGTTCAGCCTCTGAGCTACCACGATTAATAATCTTTTTAAGTTTCTATGAAAAAATCATCTTTCTTCGAAGTCATCAAAAAATAAATCATCAATCTTATTACTTACTATTTTAAGTGTGTCATTTGAATAAACTGTCATATAATATAAACAAAATATTTGACATAACATTAAGGTTTGAATAGGCAGGTTTTCTTTCTCCGTTTCACCAGTGACGCGTAGCGAACTTGGAAGAAGTATCGCCGAGACCTCCCTGAGTCCTTATTCCTGGAATATTTTCTTTTAACTGTGTAACTTTGTTTCTTATCGTGTTTCGTTGTGCGGCTTTCTTAATTGGACGAATATTTTGTTTCGAATACTTCGTCTGGTTTTTTGTACACCAACATTATATAACTTGAGTTTTCAGACGACCGTAGAAAATTGTTTTCTTTAACTTTCCTTAATTGAATTATTTAGTATAATTTAACCAATGTCGTTAATATTTCTGTATTTTCACTGTCCCCTGTATTTGACGTCTATTTTCCAATGAGAGTTTATTAAAAAAATATGGATTTATACCATCTGGTAATTATGCATACATTTATCCATTTATTTTGCTATTTTGACAGACAAAGACGATCTAATATATTATAAAAATTAATTTTTGTTCGTTCGTATTTTATGCACTGCCATACCGTTCATCAGATTGAAGTAAAACTTAGTTAACATATTGCTTGCACTTGCACGAAGGTTATAGGCATAGTACAATAAATTTACACTAAGTGGCGCGCGACAAATTTATTTGAAAGTTATGTTATATATATTATCATTCCTAATCTATACAAATAAATAAAATTGAAGTCTCTGTTTGTAATGTCGAAATAACTGATTTTTACTCTCAAGTTGGACCAAAATGCATACAGTGTGCAAAATTTCATTGAAATCTGTTCAGTAGTTTAGGAGTCCATCGCGGACAAACAACCTGACACGTAATTTTTATATATAAAGATTTCCCGTTGCCGGATTTTTCCTATTTACTAAATATAGTACATAGGAAAAATCCGGCATACATAATACATAATATGTATAATAAAAGATTTCTATTTAGTAGAGTTACGCCGGATGGGCATATATAATAGGTTATTCAAGTCTGAGTAGACTGTGTCATTAATCATTTTTTTTTTAGGTCATAGTTTGTAAAATATTAGCATTTACAATTTATGGGCTTCACTACTCTCCTTTCTTCTTATGATCGTTATATGGATATAAAAATATTATATTTTTACTAGTTCTCCTGATTTGCGTAGGAATCCTTCTGGGCATGTACCACCTTTTAACTCATTTCTGCCGCTAAGCAATAGTTCATCCACGGTATTGTCTTCTGGCTTAAAGGGTAGAGGGCCAGTCACAGACTGTGAGCTTTTTTATAAGTAATTTTTTTTATACAAACGAGCACACAATCCACCTCATGGCAAGTGGATGCTGTGGCCCATAGACATCTACATCTATTATTGATTAAGAATCAAAATGCAGATGCGTTGTTACACCTGAGGACTAAGATGGATTGCCTCGTTACTAGACAAAAGGATCTCCGCTTCTCTGCACTCACCATACGAAACACAGCACCACTATTCTGCTATTTCAAGCTGATATTCTGTGCCAGTGTGGTTCTACCCCAGTCGAACCGACCTATTCGTGCTGCAGATACATTATATAGATTCAGCGTGGCTCTACCACGTAAAAATACATCTTAGTAGTACATGAACGTCAGTACTTAAATAAACAAAAGAACAAATGATATCACACGAATGCTTCTCGTAATCCGTAATTGCCTACTGCTACAAATAATACTTAACTAGTTGTTTTGTTTGCAATCACTGTCAAAGACGCCTCGGGCTTACATTAGAAGCTATTTACCGCTACCAAAGATTTCAGCAACGAAATTTTGTTGACAAGTTCTTAGACAACTTCGTATCGTCAAAGAGACGCAAGAGAACTCATACAATACAATTATTCTCAGAATATTATTTTTATTTTATATTTATACCGTCAACTGTCGGAGTGTCAAAGAGATCATTCTGGTATTTCGCCTCGTCGACTCTAACAGTCTTTTTGCCACTTAAAAGTTCACATCCTCCATTGCTTGCCTTATAGGAAGGATATTTGCCATAGTTGCTACGCTTAGCAGGCGGGTTATCAACCGCAGTTTTAAATTTTTAGTTCTTTTGTAGATGCTTCTACTCATCTTCTGATTTGTTTTCACCTATCGCCTCTAACTACATTGACGGGACGGGATGGAACGACGGGGTACCTAGTGGAAATTTTAACATCGTCATTGGAAATAAATTTTATAATTCTTCATAACATACCTCCATTTAACAATTATTTATTCATGAATCAACATCATACTAATCACCTAATAAGATATGTCTCTGTAAGCTGGATTAATGTTTAAGAATGTTACAGAGAGAATGTCGGATATATGTCTAGTTCTCTCGTTAACAAAATGATAATCGAAGTTTTTCTAATGGATGATATCATATTTTATATATTTAGATTTTCTGTGACAAATAATCCAAATACTCAAAATATTTACTTTTGTCCAGGATCAAAAGATTCGGAACGTGGTGCTGATCGGGTCGCAAGGTTCATTGGAGGAGAAGACAGTAACAGTATGTTACGGCGCCGACTTTGTCAACGTCACTTTCGTGAACTTTTGCTGTACTAGAAAGGATATTGCTCAGGTAAGTTTTTACACTTCGACACACACGATCAGTTAAACTGATCAATTAAATTGATGTACACCTTAAAACTAACCGTGAACGTGAAATCTTAAGTTCAACTTTTTAACTGACGGCAGCCTACTGACGCTGTAAGAGATTGGCTGGCCAGAAAGCAGATATGTAATAAGACTGTCGATCGAGAAATGAAGGCCAGTGTGAGTGGAAAAATCATTGTGACCAGAATAAATTTTAGGAAAATACCGAGGCATCTTAAAAAGATACTGAAATATACCGACTTACACAGGGTAAATAAACCAATAAAAATACTGATTTTCTTAACATGTTTTATTCATTCATCATCATCACAATAAATGTTAGAATTGTATTTTAACATTATTTTCGAATGATTAAAATCGACACAACCTCCTTCATCTTTAAGATCTTGCTTTGTTTTTAAAATTGCTGATACCTTTTTGTTTATAAATCTGTTTCTTTGGTCCTATTTTATGAAATTTATCTATGAAAATATGCGCTCGAATGCAGCATTCGATACCGGTATACATAAACTGCCCATTTATTTTTTAACTCAAAACGGAACATAAGTTTATTCATACTCGCCATAAAAAAAATAAAAATCAATCACCAGTTCACTAGAATCATTAAAGCATAAAATTCTGGGCACATTTTCCTTCCACTTGACCACATCCAGCGCAGAGTGGCTCGAATCGTCGACGACCGAGTCCTTTCCGATCAGCTCGATTCATTGGCGCTGCGAAGAGAGGAAGAGGTTGCATCTCTTTGCATTTTCTTTCGCATTTACCACGGGGAGTGCTCTGAGGAATTGTTCGGATTAATTCCAGCCGCCAAATTTCACGAACGCACATCGCGGCAGAACCCAATTAATCAACATGGTAGCGGAATTATACAGTAGACTACCCCAGGAGGGTACCAGTACCCCTGGAGAATCCCTCGCTGAGCATCCACGACCATGTTATTCCAATCCTGAGCGTGGGTGCTAAGGCTGCCCCGCGTATTCTGGGGGGGGGGCAAAATTCCTCTCAAAAACAATACTGCTCGGGGCAAACTGAGCAACAATACCAAGGCGACCCCTGCCACGCTATCCGTGAATTTCTGCAACATCAGGGGACTTCACTCTAACCTAAACGCCGTCCACTACCATCTCGAGACGGCGAAGCCGGCCTTGCTCTTTCTGACCGAGACGCAGGTTTCCTCTCCGGCTGATATTTCGTACTCCTACCCGGGGTACAAATTGGAGCACTCCTTTGTGCCTCGGGCTGGAGTTTGCGTGTATGTCAGAGAGAAAATCTGTTCTCGACGCCTCGGCAGTCTTGAAGGTTCGGACCTGTCCATACTTTGGCTACGCGTAGACAGCGACGACCATCCGCGCGTCTACGGGTGCCTCTATAGGTCCCATAGCGGTAATGCCGAAACAGACCGACTAATCGACCACGTCCAAATGGCTACAGATTCCTTGCTACAACAGGTCCTATCCGCAGCGATCGTGATCCTTGGCGATTTTAACGCCCACCATGCTGAATGGCTCGGTTCACGTTTAACCGATCATGCGGGGAGATCTGTTTATGACTGCCTTGGCATATGGTCTGACACAACTGGTTACTTCGCCTACGCGGATTCCAGATGTGGAGGATCATACACCTCCCCTGTTGGACCTTCTGCTGACCTCTCATCCGGACGGATATCAGGTATCCGTCGATGCCCCTCTCGGCTCTTCGGACCATTGTCTGATCCGGAGTATGGTGCCACTCACGCTCCCTTCGCGGTTGCGTTCTGCAGGTTGCCACCGTGTTTGGCATTACAGGTCGGCGGATTGGGACGGAATGCGGTCTTTCTTTGCATCTTACCCATGGGTTTGCTTCACGCCGGATGATCCCAGCGCTGTTGCTGACTCTGTCACTGATGTGGTGCTACAGGGAATGGAACTATTTATTCCATCATCTGTGGTACCCATCGGAGGCAGATCTCAGCCTTGGTTTGGTCGCTCCTGTAAGACTGCATTGCGCAGTAAGCAGGAGTGTTATCAAGCCTGGGCTGCGGCTTCGGTGTCTCGGGATGTAAACACCAGCACATTAAAAAAAGTATAACTTCGCCTCCAGGTCCTTCAAAAGAGTTATTGCCAAGGCAAAGTCAGAGCACATAGGCAGAATTGGCGAGAAACTAGTTCGCCTTCCTTCGGGAACCCGTGCATTCTGGTCTCTCGCCAAGGCTGTCCAAGGGAATTTCTGTAAGCCATCACTACCATCTCTGCACAGGGAGGACGACTCACTGGCCCAAGACGCAAAAGACAAAGCCGACCTTTTAGGCTCCCTTTTTGCGTCCAACTCGACTCTTGATGACGGGGGGAAAATACCGCCGACCATCCCGCGGTGTGAGTGCTCCATGCCGGATGTGCTATTCTCACAGCGCTCAGTTCGCAAAGCACTTCTCTCCCTGGACATCCAGAAGTCGAGTGGGCCTGACGGAATCCCCCCAATTGTGCTGAGGACGTGTGCTCCGGAGTTGGCACCGGTCCTAACGCGTCTTTTCCGGTACTCCTACTCCCAAGGCGTAGTCCCGAATTCATGGAAGACAGCTTTTGTCCACCCGATCCCTAAAAAAGGCGACCGCTCAGACCCGTCCAACTATAGGCCTATCGCGATCACCTCCTTGTTCTCCAAAATAATGGAATCCATTATTAACTGCCAGCTCATCCGGTACCTTGAGGATCACCAGCTGATTAGTGACCGCCAATACGGTTTTCGTCGGGGTCGATCAGCCGGTGATCTTCTGGTCTACCTGACCCATAGATGGGCGGAGGCAGTCGAGTCCAAGGGGGAGGCGTTGGCTGTTAGTCTGGACATTGCGAAGGCCTTCGATCGGGTTTGGCACAAAGCGCTTCTTTCGAAGCTCCCTTCCTATGGGCTTCCCGAGAAATTGTGCAATTGGATCACCAGCTTCCTTGCAGATCGGAGCATCAAGGTCGTTGTAGACGGTGCATGTTCTGACTACAAGCCTATTAACGCTGGTGTTCCACAAGGCTGTGTGCTATCACCAACGCTGTTTCTTCTGCATATCAATGATATGTTGCTAACTGGTAACATTCATTGCTATGCGGATGACAGCACTGGTGATGCTCTATACACCGGCCGGGCCAATATTTCTCGGGAAAACGTCGCCGAGTACCGGAACAAACTTGTGTCTGAAGTCGAGTCTTTGCTGGACAAAGTCTCGGATTGGGGGCGACTAAATCTAGTCCAGTTTAATCCTCAGAAGACACAAGTTTGCGCGTTTACCGCTAAAAAGAACCCCTTTGTCGTATCTCCTCAGTTTCAAGGCACTCCCCTTCTTGCCTCAGCCAGTATCGGTATCCTCAGAGTCGACATATCGAGTGACGTGCAGTTTCGTGGTCACTTGGAAGAGAAGGCCAAATTGGCCTCTAAAAAGCTTGGCGTGCTCAGCAGAGCGGGACAGTATTTCATGCCGGCACACCGCCTGCAACTTTACAAGGCGCAGGTTCGGCCTCACATGGAGTAGAGATGTTGCATCTCTTTGCGTATTTTATCGCATTTATCACGGGGAGTGCTCTGAGGAATTGTTCGGATTAATCCCAGCCGCCAAATTTCACTAACGCACATCGCGGCAGAACTCCCGATACCATCCACACCATCTGGATGATTGGCGGTCCACCACTGTGCGATTTAGAAGATGTTTTCTTTCTCTCACTGTTTCCTTGTGGAATAGTTTACCACCAGCAATTTTTCCGGACCGATACGACTTAGGGACCTTCAAGAAAAGAGCCTACTCCTTTTTAAAAGGCCGGCAAAGCATCTGCAATCCCCTGGTGTTGCAGTTGTTCATGGGCGGCGGTATTCACTTACCATCGTGAGCCACATGCTCGTTCGCCCCCTCTCCTATATAAAAAAAAAATGTGTAGTCAGTCTAAACTGTGACTCCTTTTGGATTGAATTCGAATGTAAGTATGGCATTTCTGTTTCTGTTTTTGCTACAATTTACATATGAGGAATAGTGGAAACAACGCAGCTTAATCCATAGTTTATAATACAATCAAATAATTTCTTAATAGACTACACTTTCACAGAGATCTTGATAATTGAAGTCTCTTTATATATATATTAACCGAGTTTCAAAAACAAGGGGGTTCTAGCGTTCTAGCAGCAAGGTACCAAACATATCTTTTTTTTAAGGCCAAATTGGCCTCTAAAAAGCTTGGCGTGCTCAGCAGAGCGGGACAGTATTTCATGCCGGCACACCGCCTGCAACTTTACAAGGCGCAGGTTCGGCCTCACATGGAATACTGTTCCCATCTCTGGGCAGGGGCTCCCCAGTACCAGCTCCTTCCACTTGACCGCATCCAGGGCAGAGCGGCTCGAATCGTCGACGACCGAGCCCTTTCCGATCGGCTCGATTCATTGGCACTGCGAAGAGATGTTGCATCTCTTTGCATTTTCTTTCGCATCTACCATGGGGAGTGCTCTGAGGAATTGTTCGGATTAATCCCAGCCGCCAAATTTCACGAACGCACATCGCGGCAGAACTCCCGATACCATCCACACCATCTGGATGATTGGCGGTCCACCACTGTGCGATTTAGAAGATGTTTTATTCCTCGCACGACTTCCTTGTGGAATCGATTACCATCAGCGATTTTTCCGGACCGATACGACTTAGGGACCTTCAATAAAAGAGCCTACTCCTTTTTAAAAGGCCGGCAACGCATCTGCAATTCCCCTGGTGTTGCGGTTGTTCATGGGCGGCGGTAGTCACTTACCATCAGGTGAGCCGCATGCTCGTTTGCCCCCTCTCCTATAAAAAAAAAAAAGAACTCCCGATACCATCCACACCATCTGGATGATTGGCGGTCCACCACTGTGCGATTTAGAAGATGTTTTCTTTCTCTCACTGTTTCCTTGTGGAATAGTTTACCACCAGCAATTTTTCCGGACCGATACGACTTAGGGACCTTCAAGGAAAGAGCCTACTCC